ACCTTACCTCACTGGATCGAAACCGGAGCTCTGATACCACTTTGTGAAGTGGTATCGGGCCTCGCAGTTTCACTCTGACGCTCGTGTGTTCAAGAATCGAAGAAGACAGAGACGTTTTAACGAGTTCGGTTACCGAGTTGCCTCGGGCCTACATCTCGGCCGGACGGTGCCGACGAATCCACTAGAGAATGGAAACTGAAGCAACCAACAACCGACGACCTCCACACAGATTCAGAGGCTCGCCCAAGAGAGAACCAGAAAGAATACAACAGCCTCGAGATTCAACCGAGAACCAGAAAGCTCTTACCGAGACCTTTAATCTCACCTCCTGCTTGCTGTCAACCGAGCTCCGGCGTCGCCAAGAAGCTCCTCCATCTCTCTTTCGCCTTCTCCATTCTCCATTTCCGTCTCCTGCCTCGAGCCATGTGTTCGTAACGCGAGAGCAATAATCCTAGGGTTCATTAACCCTCACATTGAAACACGTCGTTTTGGGCCATGGTTTATGGGCCGTTCCTTTTCCGCAATATGGGTTGTGAAGCCCAACACTATCCAATCAGTATTTCATTATTTACAAATATTTCATTCTTTCATTGTACATGTAATTCATATATAATCTTACATTCTGACCAATATCATAACTAAATAATTAAACATTGACGACGTTTGTTGTAATCGTTTTCCATTATATGACTTGTAACATGGTATGACACATCGTCAATATTTTTCAAATCATGGATTCCGATTTTCTACACCAATTTTCAATTTGACAAATTACGTCGAATTTTGAATATTTTCAAAAATCTCATGCAAAATATTAGAATATGTTGTCGTTTCTCCTATATCCATAAACGATATTAAGTTTCGTCAATTTTAATATTGACGTGGTATATCACGTCACATTTTTTCGTCAAATCTTTATATCACGTCAGAAAATAAAAAAATAAAATAAAATTTTAAAAAATATTATGATATGTAAATATATATATAGAAGTGATATGGCTTGAAGCAGTATATATCTTCACTGACTCATTTAAATAGACAAATATTATTATGATATGTAAATATATATATATATATATATATATATATATATATATATATATAGGAAAGTTGTATATTGCTTTTTTTATATATATTTTCTGTTTCTAGTTGTATGATTGTACATATATATTGGGAACGAGAAACGAGACAGAACAACCTAATTAATTTTGGCTATTTTAATGTACAAAAAAATTAATTACCATACGCTCCATATATGTTATAAACGGTATGGTTGAACGTTCGATATTATTATCTTTATATAGAAAAGTAGAGTTTTTTTTTTCTCATGGTCAAATATGTAATCAATTCATAATTAAAATATCATTTGCATTAACTGAGAAAAAGAGAAGATCATTATCCTCAAAATTGTTTTTCCGATCTCAATTTAGAACATATGTTGAAACTTTTATCCTAGAATGCTAGATTCCATATGTGATTGATATGAATATATTGTCCAATCCACTGTAATAACTGTATTACACTGAGAAAACATTAAGAAAAAGAAAACCCTAACTAGGGCAAAGGCAGTGCACACCCGTGAAACGGTTCATTCAAAAGTGAGCTGAGTTCATCGATATCTAGGCCCTGAATCCAAGCATATTCATCATCAACTATATTCGCAAACGGTTGGAAGGCTGCGTCCCCGACGTTCTGACCGATCGACGAATTGATTCCGAGGTTGCCTTGATTCATCCGACGTCCATCCCCGTTCACCCGGCCGTTGCTTTTGCGTCGGATTCTGCAGACAACCCATTCTTGAGATTCGTGGGAGGGCAGGCGATACTCTCTCATCAGCCAATCCGTCTTCATCTGCTTCGTACTCCCGACCTCGTTCTCCATGAAAGTGAGATTCCGAGCGTGGCCGATAACGACAGCGTTTCCGCCATCTCTGATCTCTTCTTCCCCGGATGTGCTCTTCCATGTGCCGCCGTTTTCTTTCTTTTGGACTTGCCGGCTCTGTCTCTTTCTCTTTCTCGTGCTGTCTATTGTCTTTTTCACGAAATAGTACCACTCGTTGTCTTGGAACAGAGGCTCGGTGACGTGTGGAAGAAGCCAGGGTTCCGATCCATAAACATCCACGTCCTTTATGAAACTGTCGCCTCCGCCGTTGACTTTCCAGCGAAGGTGACTGATGAGATCCTTATCGTTGGGGCGAAACTTTAACCCTACGATGTCTTGCCAGTCATCCATCGTCATGTGTTATGACTCTCTCTCTCTCTCTCTCTCTCTCTCTCAATCTCTCTGCAAAATAGGAACGATGAGATCTCCCTGTCTTTGGTTGAAGACGAGGAATAATACTCTTGTGGCGGTGGTGAGTAAAGGTATAACATACATGATATATATAGAGACAGAAAGAGAGAGAGAGAGAGAGTGATTTATGGACGGAGCTATATCACTTGGGCATGAATATATCACTTGCAAACTTGTTGCCGTTTACGCGTTATAGAGAAAATGGCAACAAGTTTAGGGATTATCAAGAAAAGAGAATCTGAATGAGGGTGAGTAGGATAGGATATAGTCTTAGTTTAACGGTTTTAACGACTTCGAGTCAAACGTAACCGAACCCTAACTTAAGACTCAAGTAACTTCGTATAAAAACAGTAGCGGCAGCATTTCCTATCAATTCAGGGTTTCTGCCTTCGAAAGTCAAACTCATTCTTCTTTAACAAAAAAAAAATATAACAAACCATCCGAATCCGTTGAAGAATTTGCGTTATTTGCGTACACGTTGAAGAATTGAACCATCCGAATCCGTTGAGATCAAGGTTCGCTATCCCTTCCACTGTGTTTCTTGCTTCTTTCAATGTTTGTTCTTGATTCGTTTGATCATCTCGGTATTGGGGTATGTTTCTGGATCCATTCCGTTTTCGTTCTTGCTCTCGGTTTCCCGATCGTATTGAATATTCTATGGAAATCTCATGTTTATCTTCCTTCTTTTCTCGTGTTTTCGATCTCTTAATCGCAAGTTTTTTGTATTTCGTTCTGTTTTCGTATGTTATTTTCACCTCTTGCCACCCTTTCGTCTTATATATAGAAGTATATGTTGAAACTTTTATATACTTCTATATATAAGATGAGATATATATCATTTGCAAATGAAGAGACATCATATTCTATATACAGATAAATATATTTATATACAATTTTATAAACGGAAATTGGACCATCCAGATATAATAATCAAAAAACGAAAGGTATATTGAATATTAAATTTAAGAAAATATAAAAGAAAAATGGATAAAAAATTTTGTTTTCATTTTAAAGAATGAACCAAATTTATAAAATAAAAAAACAAAATAAAAGTTTATATAAGAAAATTTTAAAATTCTAAAAAGTTCAAATCTCTAATATAAATTCGAGTACAAACACAACCATCAAACATCCAAATAAATAAAAATTCACATATTTTTTGTATTGTGAGATATCTTTTTTGTACATGTGTGTTTTAACTATATGCAATGTTGAAGTCAATAATTGTACTTGACCGACGCTAGAAATAGAAAACGACACCGTGTTAACAATATCTTTGGGAAATATCAAAGAGAAAGTCAATGGTAAACCAAACAAACTCTCCATTACCACATGTTGATCTTTCCGATAGTTTTCTATTACTTCCTAATCACATAATCGATTCCCTAAATCACTCTCTTAATCTCTTATTTAATACGTTGCATTTCATTAGGTCTTAGAAAAACATAAACTTCATGAAATGTTGATAAGTTTGGACATATTTATATTATATGAAAATATATATCTTTTTATTTTATTACTTAATAAACTCACGCCGGATGCAAACCAATTATATCAAATTTTTAATTTTTTAAAATATAATTTTATTATATATATATATATATCGATTATTTTTGTGTATAGAATGAAACACATTCATATATAATATGTGATATATATAGGTTGATACATATATTTTTGTTGTTGGAAATATGTTAGTAAAACGAATGATATAATAGAGAAAAATCATTACGAGAGTGTAGAAAATATTTGAATATCCGTCTTTATTTATCATCTAAGTATATATGTTCATTTTATTTCATTTTTCTTCATTTGACTAACAAATTAATAAACTCTATCAGAAGAAAAAAATTATAAAGATAATTTAGCTATCCAAATAAAATTATTTTTAAAATAATCATTTTAATCTAATGTAATATCAATAATACAATATTTTTTGTTATGTATTATTTGAACAACTAAAATCTTTTTTTTTTTCCAAAAAATAACATAAAATTATACAAAATATTATCAGAAAAAATATATTAACTTTAAACTATCAAATAAATACATTATTAGAGATATGATTAGGACTTTTTTTTATAATTCAAAATTTCATTAGGCCGTTAGTAATTAAATACGTATATCTAACCCTATTTAAGCAGGAGATGAGACCGACCTATCATCTCAATAAACAAAAAACAAAAATGGCTTTAACCATGATCTCACTTGTATTGTTCTTGTCCGTTTCATTCAAGAAACAGAAGAAATCGTCAGAAAGCATTCATCGTCTCATCGGCCACCTCCATCTTGTCCGGTCTCTTCTCTATCACAAATCTCTTCAGAGGCTTTCCTCCGACTACGGACCCTTTCTCCATTTCCGTATCTTCAGCACTCCCATTCTCCTGGTCTCGTCCGCCTCCGTCGCTTACGACATCTACAGGACCCAGGACGTGAATTTCTCGTCCCGTTACTCTTCTGCCGTCGAAAACTCGATCGTGTTCGGCCCTTGCGGTTTCCTCACTGCTCCGTATGGAGATTACTGGAAGTTCATGAAGAAGATCGCCATGACTGAGCTGCTTGGACAGCAGCACTTGGAGAGATCACACTTGAGGTTCGTGGGGAAGAGATGAAGAGGTTTATCCTTAATTTGGTCGAGAGGGCGAAGAAGCATTAACGTACGAAAAGAGATTATGAAGCTCACTAACAACAGCATATGCATGATGACAATGGGGAAGAGGTGCTCGGGGGAGAGTGGACAGGCGGAGCAAGTTAGAGGGTTAGTGTCCAAATCCCTTGACCTGGGGAAGAAGTTGGTCACGGCGAATGCTCTTCGTTCGCTCAAGAAACTCGGTCTTTCGCTGTTCGAGAACGAGACCCGGGAAATATCGGGCATGTTCGACGAGATTCTTGAGAAATATCTACGGGAGCACGAAGAGAATCCAAATGGAGATCACAAGGACATGATGGATGTTCTTTTGGAAGCTTACCGTGACAAAAATGCAGAGCACAAGATCTCGAGGAGCTAGATCAAGGCGTTTCTTGTGGTATATATGATTTCATTCGTAAGACGAAACCGAAAACCCTAATGACCGATCAAGGGACTTGAATCCTTTACTTTTGTGATCTTGCGTTTTGATAGGAACTTTTTATCGGAGGGACAGATACTTCAGCGCAATCAACGCAATGGACGATGGCTTCAACCATCCCAACATCTTCAAGAAACTGAGACAAGGAATCGATTCCATTGTCGGGACAACAAGGTTGATCCAAGAGACCGATCTCCTGAACCTACCGTACTTGCAGGCAGTGGTAAAAGAAGGGCTGAGGCTACATCCACCCCTAACTCTCTCCCCCAGGCGATGTGGGAAACTATGCAAGGTTTCCGGGTACGATGTGCCCGATGGTAATCATCAACGCTTATGCGATAATGAGAGATCCGGTCTCATGGGGGGAAAAGGCCGACGAGTTCCGCCCCGAGAGGTTCTTGGGACCTCCGAAAGGGCTGGTAGGTGGCAGAGAAGAAGGAGTGAAGTTCTTCCGTTTGGGAGCGGAAGAAGGGCATGCGTTGGAGCAAACTTGGCTTACATCTTTGTGGGCACGGCCATAGACGCAATGGTGCAGTGTTTTTTGATAAAGATTCGTATTGATGGATTGAAGGAGATACATAGTGATTGCTGTGATAGCAATATGATATACAAAAGGACCTGAGCGTGGAACCTATATTCCTCCGAGCAGAATTACATTTGGGTTAACTAAACATAGAGAACCAATATTGAACACCTAATCCTGCGAGTTTAGGGGAAGTGGATCTTAGCGCAGCAACTCTTGTGCGGAAGATTTTGTTAGTTTCTCGGATCAAGTGATGGGTTCCCTGGAACATGTTCCGGTGAAGTCTCTGATTCCTTTCTTTCCACAAAAGATAGGTAGCGATCTGCCAAACCGATAAGACTGTCCAACGTTTGATCTTGCATTCATGACTTGAGAGAAGCCCATGCAATATGTTTTGCCAAGAAGAGCGAGGGGAGAGGTGAATCAACTTCCCAACAGTTCCGGTCATGACTGCATTGGAGAATTCACATACATAGAAAACATGGTCTCTTGTTTCCTCATGATTCTGGCAGAAGAGACATGAGGGGTCCACTTGTAATCCCCAAGAGATCATTCTGGACCTAGTCGGACAACGATCTAAATGAATCAGCCAACAAGTAAAAGCATGTTTGGGGATATGTAGTTCATGCCAAACCAGTTTAGCCCAGTAAACAGGCTGAAGATTCCTGTTAACAGATTTCCAAACTGACTTAGTCGAAAAATCTGATGATACCTGGCCTTCGACTTGCCAGGAGACCTCATCTGAGTTGTTGTTAAGGCGAATAGGAGCCAGGTGGATGGCTAGTTGAAGTGATTGATCAGATCTCGGATGAGACATTAACCATGCACCGTTCGAGTAAGCTTCAGAAACCGTTGCTTGGAGGTTGATACCCAACTGCATCGGTCCTCCTCTTCCAAAGAAACCGATTAGAGGGCCCATGGGGGTCCATGGGTCAAACCAAAACTTCGTTTCTCTTCCACTGCCGATATGAATCCGAAAGAATTTAGAAGCCCAGCTTCTGAGCTTCAACAGACGCCGAAAAGTCCAAAACTGGTTGGCCTTTATAGTGACAGACCAGAAAGAGGCACGGGCTAGGTATTTTTGGTTAATCCAGCCAACCCAAAGAGAACCTGCCCTAAAAAATAAACTCCAGATAAGCTTAAGCGCAATGTCGTTCCATTGGGATAAATTCCGCAAGCCCAGACCTCCTTCTGTTTTAGGCGTAGTAACTCTTTGCTCCTCTTGATGGTTCCGTTTTACCTTTCCACAGTAAAACAGAGCATAAAGAGTTTACTTGCTGAATTGTACGTTTTGGAAGTATGAAGGCATTGCACCAGTAGCTGATTATTCCCGATATTACTGAACTCAATAGCTGAAGTCTGCCCGCAAAAGACAGAGAGCTTACAGTCCATGATTCCATTTTACTCCTGATTTTTGCTATCAAAGGTAGGCAATCTGTAGGTGATAATTTCCGAGACGACAAAGGAATTCCCAGGTAGCGGAATGGGAGTTCAGAAGTCTCAATTCCCGTATTTAAAACCAAACGTCGGACCTCATCCAACGAGCATCCCCCTGCATAGAAACTGGATTTTCCCTTATTGATGTACATGCCAGATATGTCTCCAAACCTGTTAAGAGTTTGGAATAAAGCCTCAAGTGAAGGGTCCGACCCATCAGTGAAGACGAGAAGATCATCTGCAAAAGCAAGGTGAGTTATGTTCATTGCCGACAGCCTGGATGAAATCCCAAACGATTCTCAGCAGCCTCTGCATCAAGCATATTTGATAACACAGACATGCTCAGGATGAATAAGTAGGGAGATAGAGGACAGCCTTGTCGCAATCCTCTGGTGCCAGGAAAGAAGTCAAAAAGACCCCCATTGACTGAGACAGAGAAGTGTGGCGTGGTGATGCACGCCTTTATGAGCGCAATAATCTTGACCGGGAGACCTAGAGCATGCAATACAACCAACATGAAGTCCCATTCAATAGAGTCGAAAGCCTTTGCTATATCAAGCTTTATAGTCATTCTCTTGGAGATATTTTTCCTGTGGTAGCCTTTCAAAATTTCAGTAGCCAGCAAGCAATTTTCCGTAATGCTACGTCCACGGATAAAAGCCGACTGGTTCTTAGGAGTAACTGCTTCAACTAACGGCTTAAGTCTAGAAGCAAGAAGTTTGGTGATTACCTTATAAATGGTATTACAACACGAGATTGGTCGGTAATCAGCTAATGTTTCTGCACCAGGGACTTTTGGCACCAGAACAAGGGTAGTTGCGTTGATAGACTTCGGCATAATACCGGTGCGGAAGAAATGCTGGATGGACTGAGTGAATTCTGCTCCTAGAATATCCCATGTCTTCAAGAAAAACTCTGCCGTAAAACCGTCCGGACCTGGAGTTTTATTCGAAGGCATTGAGTGGAGAGCAGCCTTGATTTCAGCATCAGTAATTGGAATTGTTGTAGCTTGGATCACACTGTCAGGCGCACGATGCACTGTGCCTTCAACCTTGCTTCGGAGGGTTGCAGTTTCTCTTGCTGTTCGTGGAGGACCAATAATGGATTTGTAATATTCAACAGCCATGGAGGAGATACGATCAGGTTCCGTTATCCGATGACCTTCTGAGGAGATTAGGTGGCGAAGAGTGTTCATGGAGTTCCTAATCAGTACAGATCTGAAGAAGAATTTCGTGTTCTGGTCTCCCGTGCGCAGCCAGTGAATACGTGATTTCTGCTTGAGAAATTTTTCTTCAATCTCCTTAAGATGAGACCACCTTTGGAGGCATTGATGTTCCTCCACAAATGAGGCCGATGATGGGTTACGTAAAGCATTTTCCTGCGCAAGTGACAATAGTGAATGTGAGTGAAGAACCTTTCCCTGTAAATCACCGTAGTTAACCTTACAAAGAGTTTTAATAGGGATCTTTTGCTTCCTGATTTTTGAGTGCAGCGCCGATAGTGTATAGGCTCGTTGCCCCACCATTAGCCAGGAGTTTGATATGGTTCGTTTGAAGTCCGAGTGCTCAAGGATGAAATTGAACACTTTGAAAGGACGGGGACAGGGATTTGTGTAGGGATTAAGGGTTATTAGACAGGGGCAGTGGTCTGATGAGAATGGGGATGTGAAGGTTGCATGGCTATGGGGAAAAGATAAGAGCCAGGAAGAGTTGACTAGGGCTCGATCAAGTTTCTTGGCAACTGGATTATTTTCTTGCTTGTTGGACCATGTGAATAGAGGTCCCTGATATGGGAGATCAAAAGTTTCGGTGGAGTAGATTAGGTTTGAGAATCGGATCATTGCTGGATTTTGGTGGGTAAAAGAAGCAGATGAATGCTCATGAGGTTGGGCAATCTCGTTGAAATCTCCACAGATTAGCCAAGGCACTACAAAAAAACTGTGAAATTCCAACGGATTTTTCCAACGGATTAATCCGTTGCAATTTTTCCAACGGATTTCCAACGGAATCCCGTTGGAATAATTCCAACGCATTTCTAACGGCTTTCCAACGGACGTCTAACGGATTCATCCGTTAGAAATCCGTTGGCAATTTCCAACGGCATATCAACGGATATTTGAGTTGGAAATTTTCCACGTATATTCCAACGGATTTCCGTTGGAAATAACGTTTGACGAATTTCAACGGATTGCCGTTGAAATTATTCGAACGTTATGAAACGCGGTAATAATTCCGACGGATATCCGTTGGAAATAGTCGAACGTTATAACGTTCGAAATATTCCAACGGATATCCGTTGTGATTGGTTTGATACAACGTCGGGACGCGGCTCACGGAAAAATCGATGGGGAGGTATTGACATAAACCCGAAACGTTCATATGCAAAGTACGATCCTTTTATACTTTCAGATCAGGCAGACCAGGTATGCTTCATTCCATATCCGAAACATTCTGCGACATCGGTGAAACGGCGACGGGAAGATCAATGGTCGGCTGTTTTGAAGATTAACCCACGAAGATTAATTATCGTGGATTCGTCGTCGACAACACAAGATCTGGATGAGCCCATGCAAGAGCAACTCGAAGATCCGGTTCTTCCCATCCGACTAGATGATGATTACGACGAGACACTTGCACTTCCTGACATAGACGACGAGTTACTTGATGATTCGTTACACGTACAAGACGATATAGACGAATTCGTTTCGGACCATGATACAACTCCGGATGATGAAAGTGATGAAGATTCTATATAGACTTATTTGTTTTTATTGTTTTCATATGTATTTGTATTTTGAAAAATCTATCATATTTTTTTTTTTAAAAAAAAAATTGTTAAATTCCAACGGGCATCCGTTGGAATCGAATCGCAGAATTCGAATGATCACATATATTCCAACGGACGAAAATTCCAACGGACACCCGTTGTAATTGTTGAAACATTGAATCCGCTGATAAATTCCAACGGATGCCCGTTACATTATTAATTTCTAACGGGCATCCGTTGGAAGATCTGAAGCATTAAATCCGTTCGACGCACCTGGCGTCCATCGCGTCATTCCAGAATATTTCCAACGGATGCCCGTTGGAAATGAATAATGTAACGGGCATCCGTTGGAATTTATCAGACAACATTAAATGCGCCAGAAAATTCCAACGGATGCCCGTTGGAAATCCGTTGGAATTTTCGATTATATAAGGGCGAGCGCCCATCCTTCCTCATCATTCAACAACTCTGAAAAAAAAAACGACAAAAAAAAAACGACCAAAAAAAAAATCAACAAAAAAAAAACACAAAATGGTAATTGATTTTCAATTCTTGTTCAATTCTTTAATATTTATGTTTTGTATTAATAACTAACTATTGTTTTTTTACAGTTTCGTAGGCGATTTTCTGGTTCCGGAGGATTGTTAGCGGGTTCTTC